AGGGACCTGGGTAAAGAAATTGAGAGAAACCATTTATGTTACTTCTACTAGTCACTATATCATAATTTATTAACAAACACCACACACAAAAAAAAAATGAAAACGGTCTTAACAGAATCTAATTGAAAAAATAAACAATATTGTCACATTAAAGTTTTCATTAAAAAATAAAAGGAAATTTTATGCTAAGGTAGGTTGAGAGGAAAATTATTCTATATTCCTGCTTTTCAAACTTTGGTGCACACTGCCCAGTTGTTATACTTTGTATTATCTAATGAAGTAAGCATATTTAACTGGCATCTGAAGCCAAAGCATGTCAACTCGGATGTCAAATTCAGAGAACACTGATATTCAAATCTGTGTTTCATATGCTATCATTCAAAATTCCTTTCATAAAGCATCCAGTACAGGGGCAGGTCGAGTGCCTGATATTAGCCCTTCTCAGAGCGGGGCAAACAGATGTGATACAGATTTGGCCATTCATGGTGATGACCAAATTGGATGGGTGAGAATAGTTTCAACTGTTCAAAGCTTGGGAAACAATGGGAACAAACTTAAGGAATTTGTCTCATACACACTCTAATGAAACTGTAAAATCATCACATCTCTTATCCTGCCCACACAATATCAAGTCGGAATTTCCAGTGGCACACAAGTGGTCGTTACTGGCAGAACCTTTCCTATGGGCATCTGCAATCTGCCATGCATAGTGATAAAAAGCTTCAAGAACATGTGCACTTATCCTTTTTGCCCACATACCCTGTCCTAAAAGATGCCACCCTTACATTCCACTATATATCGGCTAACTAATCGATTTTGAAAATAATCGTTAGCTGCAGCTCTACATTCCACAGATCTATACTCATCAAGATACAGCGCATGCAGCCTCCCATGTTTATTACATCCTGCGCCAAAGTTCCCTCTTGGCTGTGCTTATGCAATAGATCCCCAAAGAAGTCTAGGGAGCTCATCTCCCATCCAGGAGACCTAGGTAGACAAGCCCAATAGAAGTACCAAAAAGTACTTTAAGAAGTGCTATAAAAAGTAATGTCCATGAAGGACACTGTTGGCTGTTTATCTTATTTACTTGATAGAACACATGCGTCTTTTAGTGCATTTAACCTAATATTTGTTTTGATAAACAAGATTACCAGCAAAATGTTTTTTAGAAGTCTTACTTTACCTGTAGACACAAACTGGGCGTTTGAATTCTCTGTGGAACAACACATCCCAGTATGTTTTGCCAGAGACATGTCCGGCTTAGCATTATTTTGTTGTCTAGACAAAAGTGTTTCACCAGTCCCGGATGCAAAAGGTAAGTATTTTTCTTAATAAAAATTATCACAAACGATAATACATGCATTGCAATAAAAACATATCTTAAACTTGTCTTCATAAGACAAGAGTGTGCAGTTGCATACTTTTAAGCCTATGTTTAACAAATAGAGCCATATGGGTTTATTTAATACCACAGCCCAAAGATCAGGGATATGTAAAAACACCAAACACAGCTTAGAGTCACCTGACTGAAAGTTGATATCTGATTGGTTGGCAAGAGCTATGGTAAAGCACTAGAAACTTTTTTTAAAAGCCAAGGTGTGTTTGCTTGTTGTATATTATTTCTATTGTTAAGACAATAGAACTGGTCAGATTTAATCTCTCGATTCCATTTGTACATAAAACGTGTCTAGCAATAAAGGTCAGTTTGCAGAACAAAATCCAGAGTCATTTTCCTACAGTGCAGTAATCAAATCTAATCGTGTCATCTATGTCAGAAAGGGGAAATTATCAGATGCATCAAACGATTTGCATAGATTGAAAATGAATCAAAATTAGTTTTGGTATGTGTGATGGCTAAAATGACAGTCTAATTGCTTCAGCATCAAGCATCACAAAGTTTGGTGTGTAATTTTAATCATTGATGAGTTACAGGTTAATTATGCTCAGGGAATGTAGGTAGATTTAAACCCTCTTTGAAATTATTTGATCACAAAGAGCATGACAGAGGAATCATTTTCTAATTAGTAAACACAGACATGTTTACCTTGGAAAGGGGAAACTTTGCACAAACACTAGCTTTAGAACACAAGGCACTAATACAGAATTAACTGATAGCCGTTACTTATCAACAGAATTTTGTGGGCTAAGCGGCAGCGCCTTGATTAGCGATTCTAAATAATTTGCAGTAACCCATAGCAACCAGACACAAGTTTACTGAATCAGATCATTGAAGAATACATTGATATGGCTTACTACACTTACCATCTTGCAGCTCACCTTAGTGCAGGGGTGGGCAACTCCGTCCCCACAGCTGTGCTTTACCTACAAATCCCAACATGCCTCTGAGAGTCATGCCTGTAACAGTCAGTCTTGCAATGCTTCCTGGGATTTGCAGTTCCACAACAGCTGGAGGGCCAGAGTTGCCTACCCCTACCTTAGCCTAATTGAATGTGGCTGATAGCTTTGGACAACGTGCCCAATTTTTTTTTCTTGCCCCAGCATTGATATATCTTGAATGCTGATGTCTTAGATTAAAATTCCTGCAGAAAAAAAATACTTGTACATTTGTTATTTTAAAGCAGGGCTGAGAAAAATTCAATTTAGCATCCAGTATATTTGCTGTTGAAAGGTGATTAAAAGGTGAATGCTATAAAAAAAAAAAAAAGTCAAACAAACCCCACCCATATGGCTCATTTTCAGCTGATTTGCAGTTCATTAATGGGCTTCTAGCTAATGCCCATATCATAATACTGACACACTCAGCACTAGCAGAATATAAAGTCTTCTTTTGTCTGATAACTTGTAACAAGCTGGCTATCACCGGCAGGCTGGTGCCTCATGTACAGCTGATAACCTCTGGAAAATTTCAAAACGGACGGAGACTACAGCCTACGACCAGCACTATCGGAGAAGCCCTTTTGGGGGAGGAGTCAGCTACATACCTCAATGCTACCATTACGATACACGTAAAGTTTACCACTCAACTAATCTGACTAGCACTGTTGCCATAACAAACATCGCTATAAATTATCCTCCCAGAATTAATCAAACACCCCCTAAACAATGACATCAGATTTCAGTCACAGTTGTATAAACGTGCACTTTGCCGAAAAAAACATATCTATAAAAAAATAAATACAATTTCTTTGAACTAATGGAAAGCGGGCTGCGGATAGGTGATGTATATTTGGTCAAGTCAGTCAGCAGGAGAAAATATGACGTTTCTTATTTGGTGGTCTGGTGAAAACATTAGATCTAAATAATTACAGAGGTTATTCCACAAACAAATGTTCCGTTTAATTAATACTGCTGTCGATTAGACTACTTTCTTGAGGTGTCAGTGCAGACAGCCCAGAAGGAAAACTTCATGCCTCGCAGCCTTAGCCCTCTTCACCACGTTCTAGCAAAGTTGTGCTAGGATTGAAAAGTAAACAGTATAGCCTGCCACTGCAAACACTTAAAAGTCCTCTGCTGAATACAAAACAGGGGCATGAAAAAAAGCAGCAACGATTAAAGCAACAGGCTCTGGTGTAGCATTAAACTTAAGGTACCCACACACAGAAAGAAATGATTGTTCTGATCGTGGATGTGGGTGGGCGGTGAGTGTGAGGAGGTGCGGCGTGTGGATGCGGGCGGGCGGGTCTGGCAGCGGCAGGCGTGAGGTGGGGAGGAGGTGCGGCGCACAGTGTGTGGACTGGGGGCCAACTGATCGGAAGCCGATTAAATCGATTATTTAAAAAGTTGACAACTTTTTCAATAATCGATTAGAATCGATTATGCCGATTAGTTGTTGCAGCCCTAGTTCACCAAGTGCCCAACATTTGCACAACTTTTACTTCAAGCAATAGACCCATGTATTGAAGATGACCGTAGACAGAGTAAACTGACTATCACAGACACAGCATGGAGCAAGATTTTAACCACTTTCAATCTCTTCCTCTATATAAGTGCCAGTTGGTCTTATTATGATAGTTTAATCTGACCTTTGTACACACACTGCATTGTCAGTCATCACATGATCAGGCTCTTATTATCTTTTGTGCCCACCTAAAGATAAATCTATGCACAGCATAAAGTCACAATCTGCCCATTATAGTGTTAAAAACACTTCTGTCTTTAATGCAGAGTTTCTCTTACAATGGTGTATGAAAATATAGACAAGTATTCAGATGTAACTGTAAGCTTTTTTTCTTCCAACAGCATGTCATGAAGTTTAATTCCCTTTCCCTGGTCAGATGGAACAGTCCACTACTGAAAATTCATTCGTCAGGAGGGTAAGGAGCAATGCAGTAGCTAAGAGTAGTCAGGGGTGGGAAAAAAAACATGACCTCTGAACTTTTGTTGAATAAGAAGTCTGCAAGTGTATGGATAGTTTCCAATTCAGTTAGTTTTTTTAATTGACAGGTGAAAAAAAACAATAAATAAAAAAAAACCAACAGGTGGAATACAAAGCAAACAAACACAAAAAACAAACATACCTCTGCACAAAAGAAGCAATTATTCTTCGTTTCTGAAACGACTATACCCAAACTCTTCCCTTTAACTTGTGTGGCTTGCATGCAGCAGTTGTGCCGTTATTGACTTCAGCTTCCACTCTGCAGTAAATGTTTTGCATGATTAGTGAGCTCTTTGAAAACTGAAAAAAACCCTACCCAGAACTCTCCCTTTCGTAATAAAAAGAAGGCACTTGCTGAACAATAGGAGACGAATTCCTCCGCATTTAAAATGCAGAAATCTGACAAGAACAAAAGAGGCAGAATGACTGTGTAGCCCTGTTTTTAATTGAGATTGTCCCTGCCTTCTTCTACGGTCCAGTGAGACAGTGTTTGTGAAATGATTAAAAAGAACGTGATCTGATCAAGAGGATAGGATAAAAGGAAAGGAATGCTAGGTTAGCCACACTGCTTAGAACTCGAGAGAGAGAGAGAGAGAGAGAGAGAGAGAGAGAGAGAGAGAGAGAGAGAGAGAACAAACTGGATTTTTAGCCTATTGTTTTTTTG